GTGGAGGCCAATTCTGGATCCACACATCCTTCCACAGTGGGGACATTGGTTATCAGGTGGGAGCTGATCACAGTGTGGATTTGCCAAGCGTGCCTTCCTCTTAGCACGTTTCTCCCTTGCATCCCTCCTAATACTGCAGTGATTTTTCAACCAATGTGCCGTGACACCCTGGGGTGCCTTGAATGATGGTCAGGGGCACCGTGGGCAACACTGACCTCTGTCCCTTTCTTTCTTCCCTCCCCTCCCTCTTTCAATACCCTCTCGTGTCTCTGCCTCCTAAAGCCTTACACAGCTGTTTGTTGCAGCAGCCCTGGCTATAAGCTCCGCAGGCGAATGGTGCCTCTGGGGCTGGCCAAGGGGTCCTGGTTGCCAGGAGCTGAGGTGGCTCGGAGACCGGTGTGTGCGTGTGTGTGTCCTGCGGCACCCTCAAGGAAAGGGGAGAGAGGAGGCTGAGGGAACACTCCACAAGGGAGGGTGCTCGAAGAAGGGTGAGAGGCTGCCAGCTTGGCAGGCCAAGGGTGATATAACTGGGCTCCTGAGTGAGGGGAACACAGGCCTGGGCACTCACAAAATTGCAGCAGAAATGTGAAAAATTTAAGATTTATGGGTTGGGGAGGAATGAAGAGAACCGAAATGTAGAGATCCTCCCATCTCTAGAGAAGTGATTGATCCTTCTCTCACCTGCCTTTGTGTTCTACCACCCTGGCTCTGTCAATCTAATCAGAACACAGGGAAATAAAGTCCTCAAAGCTATTTCTCCTTCTGCTTACCCAAAGAGGCGGACTGAGCCAGACAGTGAAACATACTTGTCGTACAGCTGCCCACGATTGCTTCATGGTGTGTTGCAATGCACTTACGGAGCACTCACTTTATCTCTACCGTGTTATGATGATGCACCCAGTGCTTCATAAATAGCTGCCTGTCTTCCAGACTTCAAGGCATCGCTTTGTCATTAGCCTGGGTGTGTGTGTGTGTCCCAAAAAACTACAGTGGTACCTCGGGTTACAGACGCTTCAGGTTACAGACTCCGCTAACCCAGGATTAGCACTTCGGGTTAAGAACTTTGCTTCAGGATGAGAACAGAAATCACGCAGCGGTAGCAGGAGGCCCCATTAGCTAAAGTGGTGCTTCACGTTAAGAACAGTTTCAGGTTAAGAACGGACCTCCAGATCGAATTAAGTTCTTAACCCGAGGTACCACTGTATTCCGCAACAATCTAGATCTTCAAGGTGCAAAAAGCTTCCGCACAGAACCTCTCTCGACACTTAATAAGTAGCGTGTCTCACAGACCACAAGTAGGATTTTGAACGGAATCAAGAGTTTACCGTGGTTTACCCCAGGTGGGGGGGGCGCGGGTGGCGCTTTGGGTTAAACCAGAGCCTATGGCTTGCCGATCAGAAGGTTGGCAGTTCGAATCCCCGCGACGGGGTGAGCTCCCGTTGCTCGGTCCCTGCTCCTGCCAACCTAGCAGTTTGAAAGCATGTCAAGTGCAAGTAGATAAATAGGTAAATGGCGGGAAGGTAAATGGCGTTTCCATGTGCTGCTCTGGTTCACCTGAAGCGGCTTAGTCATGCTGGCCACATGACCCAGAAGCTGTACGCCGGCTCCCTCGGCCAATAAAGCGAGATGAGCGCCGCAACCCCAGAGTCGGTCACGACTGGACCTAATGGTTAGGGGTCCCTTTACTTTACCTTTACCCAGGTGGACACACACCTGAACTGCCATCACCACCCCCAAAGTTTCCCCAACTTTCCTGCCGCCTAATCCTAGTGCCACTTCCATTCCGCCCTGCCATGTGCCAGTGATACTTGATGACATCAATTGTTGGAAGAGCTCTGAGAAACAAAAGGGTAATTAATATTGTGTTTTGATTTATAAAGAAGCTGCAGTGTACAGGTTCAACGGTAAAAAAAACCCCTGGACGGTTAAGTCCAGTCAAAGGCAACTATGGGGTTGCAGCGCTCATCTCGCTTTCAGGCCGAGGGAGCCGACGTTTGTCCGCAGACAGCTTTCCGTGTCGTGTGGCCAGAAGGACTAAACCGCTTCTAGCGCAACGGGACACCATGACGGAGCGAATGGAAACGCCATTTATCTTCCCACCACAATGGTACCTATTTATCTACTTGCACTGGCATGCTTTCGAACTGCTAGGTTGGCAGAAGCTGGGACAGAGCAATGGGAGCTCACCATGTCACAGGGACTCGCCATGTCCCTAGGTTTGGCGGTAGGGCTATTGGGCTAGGGCCTGGGAGACCTGGGTTCAAAACCTCACCCAGCCATGAAGCTCACTATATGACAGCGGGGTCATTACTATAATTTTATTTTGGGGAATGACTGCTGCCTGCAGTCCTCTGCCCACTCAAGGTACAGGGAACAAGGCAGAGGGCCTACTCGGTAGTGGCCCCCGCACTGTGGAACGCTCTCCTACCAATGTCAAAGAGAAAAATAACTACCAAACTTTTAGAAGACATCTGAAGGCAGCCCTGTTTAGGGAAGCTTTTAATGTTTAATAGGTTATTGTATCTTAGTGTTTTGTTGGAAGCCGCCCAGAGTGGCTGGGGAAACCTAGCCAGATGGGCGGGGTATAAATTATGATGATGGTGATGATGTTAAGGGTACACTGCACTGAGCTCCTCCCTTAACAGGGAAACAAGGTCAGTGTGGTTGACTTAATATTACAACAACCTTTTCCCATCGCTCTCTTCTCCCTTCACCCATGTGACCTCCTAGTTACTCCATCAGGTCCAAGTTTCACCAGCTTCCATTAGACTGGGGTCCTACCAAGTGGGAAGGGGGAACCATGGACACACTGATGGGAGAAGTCCAACAACCTCTGGAGGCGCTCACACAATGCTACCCCTACTCTACTCCACAGGGTGAGCTTTCCCAACCTGGTGCCCTCCAAGAGGTTGTTGGAACTCACATGCCCATCATCTCTGACCTTTGCCCACGTTGGCTGGGGCTGACAGAGCAAATAGCAGAGCGGTTAGTTCAGCACAGAGGTGTTACATAATAAAATGTCTGGGAACTGCTGTTCTTGCAGGAAGGATTGGGTCATGCTAACCACTTTCCCCAAAGGTCACACATCATTCTGGGAAACAAATGGCTATCTTGGCACATGGGCTGGGTCTGGGAGCTACGGAGTCTGGCCAGCTCACAAGAGAAGTTCCCCCATTTGTTAAACGAAAAGGCAACATTATCTTTTTGCATGTGTGCTTATCTGAATATCTTTCGATCATTGTTGATGGTTGACGTAAGGGCCTTTCACTTCCGTCAGATTATTCAGCAAGCGTGTGTTCAAGTCTGTTGTCTTAAGTCACCATTTCCTGAATCTAAAACTACACATTACAGCGGTACCTCGGGTTACAGACGCTTCAGGTCACAGACTCCACTAACCCAGAAATAGTACCTCGGGTTAAGAACTTTGCTTCAGGATGAGAGCAGAAATCGTGCAGCAGCAGGCCCCATTAGCTCAAGTGGTGCTTCAGGTTAAGAACAGTTTCAGTTTAAGAACAGGCCTCCAAAATGAATTAAGTTCTTAACCTGAGGTATCACTGTACACAGAAAGAAAACCAGCTGTTTGGAAACAGTATTTATTTATTTATTTTGTAAAAGGGTGGCTGTGGTGCTTGGAGTATGCCACCACTCACAGGAGACATTTTAGACTTTGGGAAAATGTTCTTGCCCTTTGTGTCTCCTGAGCAAGCTTTAAAGCCCTAAACAGCCTCGGCCCTGTATACCTGAAGGAACATCTCCACCCCCATCGTTCTGCCCGGACAGTGAGGTCCAGCGCTGAGGGCCTTCTGGCGGTTCCCTCATTGCGAGAAGCAAAGCTACAGGGAACCAGGCAGAGGGCCTTCTTGGTAGTGGCACCCACCCTGTGGAACGCCCTCCCATCAGATGTGAAAGAGATAAACAACTACCTGACATTCAGAAGACATCTTTAGGCAGCCCTGTTCAGGGAAGTTTTTAATGTGTGACATCTTAGTGTATTTTAGGCTTGGCTTCACTCTGTCTGAAGAAAGTAAGTTGCTCCCCACCTAATCTGCAGGGGTGGAGTTGGTGAGACTCCAATTCCCATCAGCTCCGGCCAGCCTAGCAGATGGTCAGGGATCATGGGAGTTGTAGTTCAACATCTGGAGGGTCAACCCCCTCCCCCGCTGTTCTGTCTGATTTCCCTCCAAACCCTGGAAAGCAAAAGGATGGAAAGGGAAAAAAACACAAGAGCCCTTTCAGTGAGGTTGAGTGAAGGCTGCCTGTTCCCTGCTCATGGCTTGTAAGATATCTGGTGAAGAAGTATGGTGTCCTGGCATTTGCTGTGACGAAATGTCCAGTCTTGGGCAAAGATAATCTGGGGGGAAGTCTATAGAACCAGGTGGAACTCCAGAAATTGGCTATTCCCTTTCCTGCCTTCCCAGGTGCTAGCAAGTGTTAACCTAATCCCAGTGGATGCTTTTTTCACCACAAACTGAGTATGAACTGTAGCCTGGCCTATTTGCTAGATGCCTTCCCCATTCCGCCCCCAAGCTCCCTCAGTATATTTCATGAAATTAAAAAAAAGTAAGAAGAATTTCAGAGGGACGCAGGTGGAGCTGTGGGTTAAACCACAGAGCCTAGGACTTGCCGATCAGAAGGTCAATGGTTCGAATCCCTGCGACAGGGTGAGCTCCCGTTGCTCGGTCCCTGCCCCTGCCAACCTAGCAGTTCGAAAGCACGTCAAAGTGCAAGTAGATAAATAGGTACCACTCCGGCGGGAAGGTAAACAGTGTTTCTGTGCGCTGCTCTAGTTCGCCAGAAGCGGCTTAGTCATGATGGCCACATGACCCAGCTGTACGCCGGCTCCCTTGGCCAATAAAGCGAGATGAGCGCCGCAACCCCAGAGACGGTCACGACTGGACCTAATGGTTAGGGGTCCCTTTACCTTTAAGTAGAATTTCAGCTGACTGGAAAGAAACATCCATGTATGTACACACACACAAACACACAAAAGTATTGTTTTATCAGACTCAGTGTGTTCTAAAAATTTATACTGCAGGAAGATAAAGGAGTTCTGCTGCTGGAAAATGTTACTGGTTTTTGAACATGTATAATATTGCTTTTTCGATACAGGCAAACTCTCAAAGCAGTTTGTTAGTATTACAAAGAAACATCAGGATTAAACTTGGTGTTCAGACTAAAGAACTGAGAATGGAGGGTGGATCTGCTCCACAGAAAGTGGGAAGAATTTGTCGGCCTTGCCTAATCGTGGGGCAAATTACATTTTTGGGGCAGCTGTCTCCAAAACCACGTAGACGCCATCTCCAGGGAGATTGTGGTTTCTTCCTCTTAATCATCTTCTGGCTCCTCTTTAATCTTCTTTTTCTTTTTCTTCTTCTTCTCTGAAGTCTGGAAAAAGAATAAGCGTTGTTACCCCTCTACTCCCAATTATGAAATATACAAAATTCAAAATTAGGAAGATTGATTTGCATCTAAAGGTTTTTCCCTTGAGGGGAGATGCGAGCAGCAGAGGCACGGTCCTATTCTGCTCCCTCTTTGCTAATCTCTTTAGACGGAGAGGCTCGCGAGAACCGCAGGAATCCATGGTTACCATCGATATGACCCTAATGAAATGAGTCAACAGCACTTCCGCAAGGGAAGAGAAGCTTTCATCTCTAAGCATCTCAGCAGAACAAAGCCCTTCTCCCTCCATTTACGGAGAAGTTGAAATGGAGGCAAGATGCTCGCCAATCAAAACACAGCAGCGTGGGCCACACCTGCTTCCAAAATAGCTCCTCCTCGGAACTGCGCCACCGGGACCGGGCCACTGCTATGCGACGCCGAGCGCACGCATGTCAACGCATGTGGCTTGTGACACACATGAGACTGAAGAGGGTCGTTTCTGCCCCGGCAAGAGTTCTCTGGTTCATCAAAGCCTTGAACGGCTCTGCAGAACAAGAGGTTGGAGGGTTGCTGAATAAGACATGGCTACAGGGTACATGAGCAGGCAATTGTCTTTCTTCATGAGGGCGGGCTCCACGCCATTCTGACAGATGCACCAAGGTACAGTGGTACCTCAGGTTACATACCCTTCAGGTTACAGACTCCGCTAACCCAGAAATCGTGCTTCAGGTTAAGAACTTCGCTTCAGGATGAGAACAGAAATCGTGCTCCAGCGGCGCGGCGGCAGCAGGAGGCCCCATTAGCTAAAGTGGTGCTTCAGGTTAAGAACAGTTTCAGGTTGAGAACAGACCTCCGGAACGAATTAAATACTGAACCTGAGGTACCACTGTATTTAGGAAAACCGCTGCCCCCCTCATGCTCTGACATTCCAGATCAGAAGTCTGCAAACTTTTTCAACAGGGGGCCGGTCCACTGCCCCTCAGACCTTGTGGGGGGGGCCGGACTATACAGTGGTACCTCTGGGTACGTACTTAATTCGTTCCGGAGGTCCGTTCTTAACCTGAAACTGTTCTTAACCTGAGGTACCACTTCAGCAAATGGGGCCTCCTGCTGCCGCTGTGCGATTTCTGTTCTCATCCTGAAGCAAAGCTCTTAACCCGAGGTAATATTTCTGGGTTAGGGGAGTCTGTAACCTGAAGCATATGTAACCTGAAGCGTATGTAACCCGAGGTACCACTGTATTTGGGGGGGGGGGGAGAACGAATTCCTATGGCCCACAAATAACCCTGAGATGCATTTTAAATAAAAGGACACATTCTACTCATGTAAAAACACGCTGATTCCCAGACCGTCCGTGGACCGGATTGAGAAGGCGATTGGGCCGAATCCGGCCCCAGGGCCTTAGTCTGCCTACCCATGATCCAGATCATACAGGTTTTTTAACTCCTGCAATTCAAACAGTAAGCATTCCTGGTGTGCCCATGTTCATTTAACCCTCCAACAATTGACTGACAAAACGATTTAGGGAGGTACGGCTGCCACAAGTTTTCACTACAGCAGCATATGTCATCTTGGACGATCTGAAGCATCTTACCTCGACTGAAATGCTAGTTGATGGTTCTTCTTCTTCCTCATCCTCTACCCAAGCAGCTTCTTCCTGAGCTTTCATCTTTTTCTCCTTCTTCTTCTTTTTCTTCTTGACGGGTTCCTCCTGTTCTTCCTCTTCCTCCACTATGGGGAAAATTATTATTATTATTATTACTGTATCCTTTATCCGTAGATCTCAGGGAGGTCCGCGACATTAACATACAATATGAAAACGAAACAAAATGCGTGTTAAAAGTAAGAACAAAAACAAACTAATAATCCCTCCCCCACGACACTTTTTTAAATGCCACGCAGCCAAACACCTGGAAGAGGAACAGTTTACAGCTGGCACCTAAAGGTGTATAATGAAGGCATCAGTAGAACCTCCCCGGGGAGAGCATTCCACAAACGGGGAGCCACCACAGAAAAGGCCCTGTTCTCGTGTTGCCACCCTCTGGACCTCTCGTGGAGGCAGCGCACGAAGAAGGGCCTCAGATGATGATCTAAGGGTTGGTTCATATGGGGAGAGATGAACTATCAGGTCTGAAACCTCAAGCACTGACAGAAGAACTGTCTACATTACTTACAGCAAGTGAGATCGGAAAATATAAACTGTGTGGAAACAATAATACTAACTAAAGCCTTCGTTCTTTGAAATATTTGGAAGAAGACAAAAGACTCTCCTGTGACGCACTATTTAATTGGGATCTGCCATTATGGGATAAATGGGATGCGGGTGGCGCTGTGGGTAAAAGCCTCAGCGCCTAGGACTTGCCGATCGAAAGGTCGGCGGTTCGAATCCCCGCGGCGGGGTGCGCTCCCGTCGCTCGGTCCCAGCGCCTGCCAACCTAGCAGTTCGAAAGCACCCCGGGTGCAAGTAGATAAATAGGGACTGCTTACTAGCGGGAAGGTAAACGGCGTTCCGTGTGCTGCGCTGGCTCGCCAGATGCAGCTTGTCATGCTGGCCACGTGACCCGGAAGTGTCTGCGGACAGCGCTGGCTCCCGGCCTATAGAGTGAGATGAGCGCACAACCCTAGAGTCTGGCAAGACTGGCCCGTACGGGCAGGGGTACCTTTACCTTTTTATTATGGGATAAGACCGAGTTGCAGAGATAAATAGTCATAGGGGGAGGCGAGCTCTTAATTTGTTATTATATCTGTACTTCAAGTCCGATTTGGCAAACCTCCCCTGGGAAGACTAATGTTTGATGCAACCTGTCTGAGAAAATTAATGAGCAAACGCTTAGATTTCATTGGAACTAAGAGAAGATGGCGTCTGCCACTAGAGAAGGACTTTTGGATTGATTCAGCAATAAACACCAGTGTGTGAGGACACACTGCAAATAATAGACTTACCAGCTACAAAAAAAAGAGGGGAAAAAAAGAGAGAGTCATACAAATTTCACACAGAAGTATATTATTGTTCACTTCAACTTGCCTGTGGAAACAACTCAGAGGCCATGAAAGAAGGAAGGATAACAGCAGGAGGATTTAAAGAAGGAACTATTGGAAACTCAAGGCAGTAGAAATGTAAGATGATTGGACCCCACTGAACTTGAAGCATGGGAACCCCCAACAAAAATTTATAATTTGGCAAAATATTTGGACTTTATGATATGTATTTGTATAATTTGGAATATTCAATGTGATTTGATTAGACTGTTAAAATGGAAAACAATAAAAAATATTATTAAAAAAAAAGAAAAGAAACCTCAAGCACCGGCATGGCTTCCGGGTAAAGGTTTTAAATCAGTGGCATTCAAGGTGCAGAAGAAAGCATTCCAGGGGGATCTAGTGTTAGGGATGGCTGCAGCTCAGTAGAAGAGCATCTGTCTTGCAAGCTGAAGGGTCCCAAGCTTCAATCACTAGCATTTCCAGGCAGGACTGGGAGAGACCCACCTAAAATCCTGTACAGTCACCGCCAGTCAGTGTAGACCAGGGGTCTGCAACCCCGGAGCCGCATGTGGCTCTTTTACACCTTTGCCGCAGGCACCGGGGCGGATACTAGCGAGGGGAGGAGGCGCATTGTGCTCCCCGACACTCCCCACTGTGGCGGGCGCTCTACTGGCTGTGACGTCGCATGGGGGCGGTGCGTGCGTTAGTCACGCACCGTCCCGACGTCACCTTCCCGCCCGCCCGCTACATTGTAAGGGGCATGTACACTGGTCACTGCATTGAAAGGGGGCATGTACGCTGGTCACTGTTTTGAAGGGGAGTGAAGAACACACACACACAAAAAGGCAACTTGTTAATTTAACGTTTATTTCTATGAGGAGGAATAATTCTGAGGGGTCAAACAAAGAAATAATAAAAAGTGACAAAAAAGTTATTTTTAGAATGACGAGTTTTGCGGCTCCCAGTTTTTTTTTCTTCGGAAACGGGTCCAAGTGGCTCTTTTTGTCTTAAAGGTTGTAGACCCCTGGTGTAGACTGTCCTAAACCTGATATGGATTCCTCTCAGCCATGAAGCTTACTGGGTAACCTTGGGCCAATCACTATCTCTTAGCCTAACCATGTACACTACCTAGAGAACCATGTACACTACCTTGAGATCCTTGGAAGATAAAGCTGGTATATAAATGAAAGAAATAAAGAAGAAGAAGAATTTATATACTGCCCTATACACGGGGTCTCAGGGTGGTTCACAGAATAAGATCAAGATATAAAACCACAAAATACATAATAAAAATAAAAAACAATCCAATAGCCCCCCCCCCATTTTAAAGAGCATAGGATGTAAATCAGATCAAGGAAAGGCCTGGTTAAAAAGGAACTTTTTTGCCTGGTGCCTAAAGGTGTATAATGAAGGCGCCAGGCGAACTTCCCTGGGGAGAGCATTCCACAGACGGGGAGCCACTGCAGAGAAGGCCCCGTTCTCGTGTTGCCACCCTCCAGACCTCTCGAGGAGGAGGCACACAAAGAAGGGCCTCAGAAGATGCTCTCAGGGTCCAGGTAGGTTCATATGGAAAGAGGCGGTCCTGAAAGTATTGCGGTCCTGAGCTGTTTATGGCTTTATAGGTCAAAACCAGCACTTTGGATTGGGCCCGGAAACTAACTGGTAGCCAGTGCAGTCAGACCAGGATCACAGTAATATGCTCAAACCGTTTTCTTATGTTCCCCCAATTCAGCTCAGACTCCATTTGAAGAAGGAATATATTAATATAAATAAGAATTAAGTTGGTATACAATACTTTGGACTATACCGTTCTGTCTTTTGACAAACACTGCCCCTATTCTATTAGACCCACTTATGAATAAAGAGCCTTTGGATGGAAAACACCCATCTCTTTTAGCCCGGAGGACTGCCGGCAACACACCGCATTCTGAGTACCAAAGCTACAAAACTCCACTAAAAAAGGATGTTTTCAGCCAACAAAAACGAAAGCCCCAGGCTTTGGCAATCTGTCAAGAGAGGGAGAATTGTGAAGCTGAACAGACCATCGCCGTGGAGATTTAGAGGACAGTGGGTGGGTGTGGGCTCGGCACTCGTTCCGACATGGGGAACTCTTTAAAAAGCACGTATCCTGCCCTCCTGCTTTGCATGCAGTCACTCCAGATATGTGGTTATCTGCATGGCAAACTGAGACGCAGGGTGGCTGTTCCTTAACAGAGTTCTAAATGAGAAAACTTAGACTAGATGGATGACTTTTCTTCTTCGCAAGCTCCTTTGGGCTAGGAGCGTTTTCCTATGCTGATGACACCCAACTCTATCTGTTGATAGATGGCCATCCTGACTCGGCCCCAGACACACTGACCAGATGTTTGGAAGCTGTGGCTGGATGGTTACGTGGGAGCTGGCTGAAGTTAAATCCTTCGAAGACAGAGGTCCTTTGGCTGGGTGGGGACAATATGGGACGGGGGAGCAACTCCCATCTATTGCGGGGACTCAATTAGTGCCAACACCGTTCGTTAAAGAGTTTGGGTGTAATCTTTGATACCTCCCTTTCCATGGAGGCGCAGATTGCAGCTATAACAAAGTCAGCATTTTTTCATCTCCGCCATGCTAAGCAGTTGGCTCCTTACCTCTCTCGCCCTGACCTAGCCACTGTGATCCACGCGATGGTCACCTTCAGACTTGATTATTGTAACTCACTCTATGTGGGGCTGCCCTTGAGACTGACCCAGAAACTCCAGTGGGTACAGAATGCCGCAGCGAGACTCTTTACGGGGTCCTCACTGCGGGATCACATTCACCCGGTGCTATATCAGCTGCACTGGCTCCCGGTGGAGTACAGGATCAGGTTTAAGGTGCTGGTTTTAACCTTTAAAGCCCTATATGGCCTAGGACCCTCGTACCTACGGGACTGCCCTCTCCTGGTATGTCCCACGGAAGACCTTACGGTCTTCAACAAAAACATCCTGGAGGTCCCGGGCCACAGGGAGGTTAGACTGGCCTCAACCAGAGCCAGGGCTTTTTCGGCTGTGGTCCCGATCTGGTGGAACCTCTGTCACAAGAGACCAGGGCCCTGTGGGACTTGACATCTTTCTGCAGGGCCTGCAAGACAGAGCTGTTCCACCAGGCCTTTGGCCAAGGCACAGTCTGACCCCCTTCTTTGGTATTCCTCACAGAACTCTAGCCCAAAGAGGAGGGATATAAATAAATTATTATTATTATTGCCACTTGTAGCAATCTAGCCAGCCAGCCATTGAGAGTGTCAGGGCTGGCTTTGAGCCTAAAAGCCCAACAGCAAAAACCAATGTGACGCTCGTTTCCTCTCTAGTGACATGCGCTATAAACTTTCAGTGAACATGCAATAATGGTAACCGTGTGTGTGTGTGTGTGTGTGTGTGTGTAAAGCATTGAAACACCGCAGCAGTCGATTGGCAAACCCAGCCCAGAAGGTAAGGTAACGGTAAAGGGACCCCTGACCGTTAGGTCCAGTTGTGGCCGACTCTGGGGTTGCGGCGCTCATCTCGCTTTATTGGCCGAGGGAGCCGGCGTACAGCTTCCGGGTCATGTGTCCAGCATGACTAAGCCGCTTCTGGCGAACCAGAGCAGCGCACGGAAACGCCGTTTACCTTCCCACCAGAGCGCTACCTATTTATCTATTTGCACTTTGACGTGCTTTCAAACTGCTAGGTTGGCAGGAGCAGGGACCAAGCAATGGGAGCTCACCCCGTCGCGGGGATTCGAACCGCCGACCTTCTGATCGGCAAGTCCTAGGCTCTGTGGTTTAACCCACAGCGCCACCCGTGTCCCAATTAAAATGAAAAGGTGGCAATTCGCTTCTGCAAGTGAAGTCAGCCCATCACATTCCTTGCCCACTGAACGTGCCCAGTCCTAGGGGTATTTTTTGCAGGGAGAGAAGGGTAAGGCCTTTCCCCCCAACCCTCCATTTTGATAGAGGTGTGGGGGAAGACTGTTGTGCACAACAGACAATGAATTATTTTGATCCCTCTACAGTCACACCTCGGAAGTTGAACGGAATCCGTTTCGGAAGTCCGTTCAGCTTCCAAAACGTTTGGAAACATTGGAAGCTCCTGCAGCCAATTGGAAGCCCCGTCAGACGTTTGAGTTCCAAAGACCGTTTGCAAGCCAGGACACTCACTTCCGGGTTTGCGGCGTTCGACAGCCAAAATGTCTGAGTACCAAGGCGTGCGATAACCAAGGTACGGCTGTATTTGATTTTTGTCTCCCTTCCTCCCATTCTGTTCTATCGTTCCTCCCATTCCACTGAGTTTCCTTTGGGCTTTTTTACTGGGCATTGTAGGAAGTGATATAAGTAGAAAAGAATGTAAATAGAAAGAACGTTTTTATATGCAACGACGGCAGCAAGAATATTATTGGCACAAAAATGGAAGCAAGAAGAATTACCGACAAAAGAAGAACTGAGGATGAAATTAATGGACTATGCAGAACTTGACAAACTAACAGGAAGGATTCGAAATCTGCGGGACCAGAGATTCACAGAAGACTGGTGTAAATTTACAGACTATTTGAAAAGTAATTGTGATGATCAGACTACGTTTGTAGGTTTGCAAGAAGTTTTGTGAGGTGAATTATTGGAACTATTGCAAAAATGGAAAAAAGGGAGGAATGTTAGTTAAGACAATTAAAGGCAATATGAATTTAAGAAATGCATAAGAAGTGACAAAAATGGTGGATCATCAGAGGTGCTGATGGAAGTCCAAAAAAAAGATTGTATAAGTTGTGACGTTTTGCGGTATGTATTATAATTTATATGTTAAAATTAATAAAAATTATTTTTTAAAAAAGTTTCCTTTGGGCTGTTTGGAAGGTACCTACCCCCCTGCTCCCCCCCCCCTTTAGGGCCTTACCCTGAGAAGGGAGCTTTTGTCTTTCTCCAAACCTGACTGATCTCCCCACCAACACCAGCTCCACACACAAAAACATTTCTTTATGTGGCTCTTGCTGCTTTGGCTACAAAACGCCAGGCACTCTTCCCAGAAGTTTGGAAGCAGTAGAATGAAAGATGATTTGCGGAACCTTTCAAGCAGACTGGGAAGCCCATCAAATTTGTTTCAGGCTACACAAAGAGAGCATAGTGGCGAGTCCAACGGCCGGCAGGGAAACCATTTTACAAAAGTACATTTACACAAAGGAGGTGGAAGCCGATCAAGTGACTTCAGACACAGCTAAGATTCCGGAGGCACAGCAACTAACCTTTGATTTCTACTATTTTCGCCTTCTTTGCTTTTCCTGGGCCTGCTGTCGTCGTCGTCTCCTCCTCCTCCTCTTCCAATTCACGTTTGCGCTTTCCTGGGACCGGTGGAAGCGTCGACTCCCCAGAAGGGTCGTAGGTCTTCACTTCACTGGAATGACAAAAGGAGTTTTATTTTGGTTTTTTAAAAATGCAAGGAAAAAGCACGAGAACCGAAGATCATGCCCATCTTTTCCTAGCCTGAATGTCTTTGGGCACTGGTTTTCAACCAGCGAACCGTGGGATGTCTTGAAGGAGGTCAGGGGCGCCGTGGACAACACTGGCCTCTGTCCCTCTTTCCTTTTCTCCCTCCTCTGATGCCCTCTTGCGTCTCTGCCTCCCAAAGGATTGTGTGGTTGTTTGTTTGTGGCCCTGGCTACAAGTTCCCCAGGCAAATTATGTCTCTGGTGCTGGTTACCAGGAGATGAAGCGACCTTTCATATAAATATATATATACATACATATACATATGTGTGTGTGTGTGTGTGTATATATATATATATATATATATATATATATATATATGTATATGTATGTATATATGTATGCTTTATTACCTTATTTTTCGCTCTATAAGACACACCAGACCACAAGACACTCCTAGTTTTTGGAGGAGGAAAACAAGAAGAAAAATATTCTGAATCTCAGAAGCCAGAACAGCAAGAAGGATCGCTGCGCAGTGAAAGCAGCAATCCCTCTTGCTGTTCTGGCTTCTGGGATAGCTGCGCAGCCTGCATTCGCTCCATAAGACGCACACACATTTCCCCTTATTTTTTGGGAGGGAAAAAGTGAGTCTTATAGAGCAAAAATATGGTAATTTTGCAAACAGAAAAACAATCAACAACAACGATCCAAAATCAAAACGAGGAGGAAAAGGAAAAGGAAACAAAGAAAAGGGGGGGGGGGATTTGTCCAATACACAAAATCATTTAAGGAGTACAAACCATAATTTGAATATTCTATACATAAAGTTCCTAGAAAGAAGTTACCTTCATATTTCTGCTTTTCTCTCTCTTTTTCCCTTACAGTCACATTCTTTCTGTTCCTCTAAACCGGTTTGAGTCCCTTATATGTTTTTTTGACTTCCCTCTAACTGTTTCTGGCTACTACACTTCTCTTACACTTAAGTAATCTGTATTCAATTATTTAAAAACACACAGGGAATTTCCCTTATATCTGTGAAATTAGTCTAGGCACAACCAAGTGTTGTTATTGCAACCATATTTTGTAGACAATTTTTAAAGCAATCCCATTCTTTTTTAACCTTGTCTCCTGAGTGATTTTTTATTAGTTCTGTCATTTTGGCTAATTCAAGGTTGGTGTTAACTTGTTTTTCCAATATTCCAACATTCTGGCTGCTGTTGTTGCGTAAAGAAGCACTCTTTTATTTTCTTTTGGAATACTTATTGTTAAAATGCCTAATAAAAAAGCTTCCGGTTTCTTTAAAAATGTATGTTTTAGCAGTTTGAGAAGCAAGGTGCCACTGTATTAGAAAACAAGTGTTCTATCCACTATGGGCTGGTATCTGGACTCCTTCGGCTCATAATGCACAAAAGTTGTATTATTAATCTGTATTAAACTAAAACGCCACCACCAAAGGTAAGGGGGGGAAAGAAGAGAGCTAGCAACGAGCCGAACATGCAACCTGAGACCCAGCTTGCAGCAAGCAAGGCTGCGCTGGGAATATTGAAAATGTTTCCACCAATGCAGGAGACAGTGCGGCAAACTTAAAACCCAAGCATTTGGGAAGCAAAAGGAAAACAAAACAAAACGTAGAACTACCAACCTCTTGTGCTGATATTTGTCTGCCCTGGCCAAGGCTTTTCCCGTGCCACTTATCCGTCTTATCTGAGGGGGAGAAAGACACAGCTATGAGGAACAAATGACTGATGATAAAATGTTGGCACAACATCGCTAAGAAGAATTAAAGCCGAACACAGGTTCTCATGAGAAAAAGCAGGCTGGAGTGAACTACTCCTAATAAGAGGGTAACCATGGCTCTTCCCTCACGGAAGAAACACGGGCTGGGCTAAAACAGCCTCCGCAAGCCTGATGTTCTCTAGATGTTCGGGACAACAACTCTCCCCAACCCCATCATTATAGGGTCAGTCTGGCTAAGGCTGATAATGTTGTAGTCCATAAACATCTGGAAGGCTGGGCTGAACTATTTGGATCTCCTTCCACTGGGCGGCTAACAGCAAGTCCTAGGATTTCCATGCCTTCTTGTGGGACACCAGTTCCATATCCCAGAAGAAAAGGAATTAAGAAACAGCGTGGATGAGGACTGAGCAAGTCGGGAGTCAACCACAGCCACCTACTATGTGCAGAACGAAAAGTTCGATGCTTTGACGTTTCCAAAGTCCAGATTCCATGCTGTGTGAATGAACCAAGCCAAAATCTAACAAGGCCCTTGCCTTCCTTCTTTTGTTGCAATTCCCACCCCACATGCTTTCAGGAGTTCTCCAAAGCCCAGTGTTTCTCCTACTCTGCATTCTGAACCTCCCACGCCCAGAGGTGGGTCATTTTGACAGGTGGGTGGGGGTCACCCGCCTGATGCCAGATGACCCATTTTTCCCTTCATAATGCAGTTTGAGTTTGAGCTGTGTTGCAAAGGAAGAGCCGAAGCTGATAAAGGTAAAGGGACCCCTGACCATTAGGTCCAGTTGTGACCGACTCTGGGGTTGCGGTGCTCATCTTGATTTATTGGCTGACTAAACCGCTTCTAGGGACGCGGGTGGCGCTGTGGGTTAAACCACAGAGCCTAGGACTTGCCGATCAGAAGGTCGGTGGTTCGAATCCCCGCGACAGGGTGAGCTCCCATTGCTCGGTCCCTGCTCCTGCCAACCTAGCAGTTCGAAAGCACACCAGTGCAAGTAGATAAATAGGTACTGCTCCGGCGGGAAGGTAAACGACGTTTCCGTGTGCTGCTCTGGTTCGCCAGAAGTGGCTTAGTCATGCTGGCCACATGACCCGGAAGCTGTACGCCGGCTCCCTCGGCCAGTAAAGTGAGATGAGCGCCGCAACCCCAGAGTCGGCCACGACTGGACCTAATGGTCAGGGGTCCCTTTACTTTTACCTATGACTGTATTGTAAGATAGAAAGATGGTATACAAATTAAAAAATGAATGAATGATGATGATCTCCTCTTTTTCAGGCTAAACATACCCAGCTCCTTCAACCGTTCCTCATAAGGCTCGGTTTCCAGACCCGATAGCCTTGGTTGCCCTCCTCTGCACACCTTCCAGCTTCATCACTAGACACTATAAAGTACTTTAAGCAAAGTGTGTGGACTGCCGCCGCCACTGAGAAGCATCCATTATGTGAACCGCCCTGAGACCTTTGGGTATAGGGCGGTATAGATGTAATAATAAATAAAAACTGCATAAAATTGTCTTTCCATGTTTTTGCAGGCTCACCCCTTTCTCCTCCAAGTGCCTTAGCCTTGTCTCGACTTTCAGCCTGTTTTCCGCTCCCATCTCAGCGCTGCTCGAGTCTCCGAGAGCATCGTAACGGATAGTCAAGGCTGTTTTAGCTGCCAGCATTCGTGAGATCTGGAAAGAAAAATTAAATTAAATTAAATACCCCCCCCAATGAAACCAAGCTGGCAGTTGACTTTGCCCATGGTGCTCCAAGTCATGCCAACACAGGTTAGCACAAAGGAAACTTCTGCTCATAGTTTAAGGCAACGAAGGATTCATGCTCACAAGGGTCTCCTTTGTTGAAAATAACAAGCTGCTTTTATAACAGTGAAAGCCTAGTATTTCAAAACAAATACATAACTTTAACCACCACTAAATGGAGTAACTCGCTGTTTTTCCTTCACTGAAATATTTATAAATCATAAATCAGAATAGGAATACCATAGGACGCCCTTAGGTAAGGCGGCCTCTATTTTTTTGAACCCAAAATTAAGAAATCAGTATTTCTTAATCAGTACCTACAGGACTGCCTCTCCTGGTATGCCCCACAGAGGATCTTAAGGTCCACAAATAACAAGATGGTTAGTTGGGTCTCAACTAGGCCCAGGGCCTTTTCAGTACTGGCACCGACTCGGTGGCACGCTCTGCCACAAGAGACCAGGGCCCTGTGGGAATTGACATCTTTCCGCGGGGCCTGCAAGACGGAGCTGTTCCGCCTGGCCTTTGGTCTGACCCTTATGTTTCCCTCCCCTTATGGTTTTGATTTATGGGCTAGTACTAAAAAGAGGCTGCATTTTAAATTGTATGTTTTTCTTTTAGATTTTATTCTAATTTTATTGGTGTTAGCCACTCTGAGCCTGGTTCTGGCTGGGGTATAAAATAAATCCTCCTCCTCCTCCTCATCATTATAAATTAGGGTTCCCAAAACCACGGTGGCTGGTTGACAGGAGCAACAGTGGCAGCAGAAGCACTTGGGGTGGTAGTGGGTTTTTATGCGAGCTGTTCTTCCTCCTCCTGTTGCTTGAATAGTGGAGCTGAGCGCCTCTTGCTGGTGCTGCAGCCACTGAACAGTGATAGCTACTGAGTGAGTGCCGCCTTTGGCTCGCAGGGCCGCTGGGTGAGCTCAGCCAGAGCCAGCCGGGCTCCCCTCGCTTGCCATGTCCAGGGACGATCAGCGGCTGAAAGTCCTAAAAGTTGTTAAGCTTCTTTTTTGGTCTGCGTCGGCAAACCGCAACCCGCGATCCGAGCCAGAACCCTGTGTATCATATGTGTATGAGATGAGCCCCAATTTTTTGCTGAATTTTAAAGCAAAAAAAATTCGTCTTATACACAGAAAAATACGTTCTATTGCTACAGGAACAGATAAAAGAACACACAAAAACATATATATATGACAGAAAGGACTTCCAGATAAACAAGGATGGGAATTCAATTCATGAGAAGGCTATCATGAAATTGAAACAACTAGGGTGTTTATTGTTACTATTTATAATATTTCAGCGCCATTTTCAGGTTCCCTCTCTTCTTTTGCTTCCAATAATATATAAAAAAAGAGACAACACCTTGCCAAAAAAGGTCTGTATAATTAAAGCTATGGTTTTCCCAGTAGTGATGTATGGAAGTGAGAGCTGGACCATAAAGAAGGCTGATCGCCAAAGAATTGATGCTTTTGAATTCTGGGGCTGGAGGAGACTCTTGAGAGTCCCATGGACTGCAAGAAGATCAAACCTCTCCATTCTGAAGGAAATCAGCCCTGAGTGCTCACTGGAAGGACAGATCCTGAAGCTGAGACTCCAATACTTTGGCCACCTCATGAGAAGAGAAGACTCCCTGGAAAGACCCTGATGTTGGGAAAGATGGAGGGCACAAGGAGAAGGGGACGACAGAGGACGAGATGGATGGACAGTGTTCTCGAAGCTACCAGCATGAGTTTGACCAAACTGCGGGAGGCAGTGGAAGACAGGAGTGCCTGGCGTGCTCTGGTCCACGGGTCACGAAGAGTTGTACACGACTAAACAACAACAAATATAAAAAACCCACAAGGCAGAGAGGGTTTGGAGCGGGGTGTCACCCCAGAACTCTGGAAAATACCAAATTTAGACTAACAATGAAGCCTTACTAGAGACAAAGTCAAATGTCAAATGTCTTGGTTCCTTAGTTACCTGTAGATGCAGGTTCAAGGAATCACAAAGCAACGTGTGTTTTAGAGCATCTCACCTTTCCTTTGTTCTTGGCTGTCGTCTGCCCCACAAGAGAAGCGTGATAGATCAGACCAAACTTGGGTGTGTCGCGTTTAGTCTTCAGTGCTCTGAAGAGCGCCTTTTCGGCTCCCAGGATCTGAACTGTCGACGCCGGGTGCTTAGCCAGGTTCAAGAGAGAGCCTGCGTTAAGAAAAGATGCAACAGGAGTTTGCAAGAATTAGCAGCCTTCGAAAGAACCAAGTTTCAAGCTTTATATACCTGAAGGAGGGTCTCCACCCCAATTGTTCAGCCTGGACACTGAGGTCCAGCTCTGAGGGCCTTCTGGCGGTTCCCTCACTGTGAGGTGAGGTTACAGGGAACCAGGCAGAGGGCCTTCTCGGTGATGGCCCCCGCCCTGTGAAACGCCCTCCCACCAGGTGTCAAAGAGAACAACAACTACAGTGGTACCTCGGGTTAATTAATAAATAAATAATAAACTTAATTCGTCTGGAGGTCCGTTCTTAACCTGAGGTACCACTTATACATACCGCATTTTTTGCTCTATAAGACGCACCAGACCACAAGACGCACCTAGTTTTTGGAGGAGGAAAACAAGAAAAAAAATATTCTGAATCTCAGCCTGAATTCGCCCCATAAGATGCACACACATTTCCCCTTACTTTTTGGGAGGGGAAAAGTGAGTCTTATAGAGCAAAAAATACGGTAATTTGGCAATCGGCAGTAACATAATTCAACCCAGGCCTTGAAAAATGATACCAATAAACGAAGCATTTGTTGGGTTTTATTTGGGGGAGGCAGCCGAGGAGAAGGAACTACAGCAGAGCCCAGAAGACGTCTCAGAAGAGGTAGTGACTAGAGTTGCCTTCATGTTTCGAGATGAAATCAAGCAAACTTCAGGACAAAATCATCACCGACGACTTCTGGGCTTCTATTTTGCAGACACCAAAAGTCTTCACAAAGCCGGTCTTGGTCAATGGACTTGTGTCCTTCGGATGCTGCGAAGTGCAGGACAGTTAAGCACAACACGCCTCCCCCCCCCATTGCGTCAAGCTTACCTGCGTGAGCGATGAGTCTCGCTCCCACCAACTCTCCCACCATGACCGTGAGGTTAGGCGCGATGGCCATCATTCTGTTTTTCAGATAATCATACAGCTGTGCTCGATAGTCCGATATCTCGATTACCTGAAATATGAAACAAGGCTGGTCAAGGCAATGCTTCTGCTGCAAATCTCAGAAGAACTGTTCACATCATGCCAACTTTAATGTCTTTAATTTAGCTATTCGAGATGGCATCAGAAGAGGTAGTGACTGTGCGACCCTCATGGTTTACACATCAGGGAAAGCATCATCAAGGAAATCATCACTGCCATCAAGAACGTTGGCCTGAAAGGCTTTCCAAAATTGCTTCTTTAGGATTTACTGCCAGTTAGGCTGGATCACTTTAGATTTAAAACAGAATTAAGCTCAACTGAAGGCAGTAGCACTAAGGCCTTTTACACAGGCTGCACATTGATTGTGAGCAATGCTGGAGGTATGGGCTTTGACTTAAATCGCTGTTTTCGTTTTGGACCAGCTATGAACTACAAATTCCATATCCACCCATCCATCCTCCCCAAGTGAATTTCAGAGGAGTAAATCCGTAATGCAAACATGCCAATGAAACAAACTTTCGACAAAACCACACCGCCATCGTCATCACCTGGTCACAGAGATGCTGTATGTTGCTGATGTCTTCCTCTGACACCTCAGTCCCCATGGAGATTTCGGCAGCTGCTTTCACCTCCTCCTCCACCTCCTCAGGCAGGGCCTCCGACAGGTCAGAACAGGCAAAGTTTTTTCTGTCTCCTGGGAAGCAAAACACCTCATGTTATGTCCGCTTCATGTTACGTTCTTTCAGGATATGTCCCGTGGCGATCCAGAAGTACCGGAAAGGGTTACTTTCGGGTTTCACCGCTCGCGCATGCGCAGACGTGCAAAATGACGTCACACGCATGCGCATAAGCGGCGAGTCGCAACCCGCGGGTTGCGTTCTTTTCATTTTGCGAACGGGCCTCCAGAACGGAATGAATGGCAAGCAGCGACAGAAGCCAAGTTTTAAAACATTTAATATCTATTCGCTTATGAACAGCCTTATACATATGTGCCGAGATGACTTACAACGTAAGGGAAATACCGTATTTTTCGCGCCATAAGACGCACCCAGTTTTTGGAGGAGGAAAACAAGAAAAATAAAAAATTCTGAATCTCAGAAGCCAGAACAACAAGAGGGATCATTGCGCAGCGAAAGCAGCAATCCCTCTTGCTGTTCTGGCTTCTGGGATAGCTGTGCATTCGCTCCATAAGACGCACACACATTTCCCCTTACTTTTTAGGAGGGAAAAAGTGAGTCATAGAGCAAAAAATACAGTAGTTCTTAAAAATTTAAAAACAAAACCCTGAAGATACGATTTAAAAACGTGACAAGACAAACAGCTAAGGCAGAGCCCTTTCCACTCAGCTGCTAAAGCTTGTCGAAACAAAACTGTCTTCAACAGGTTCTGGAAAGCACAGATAACCGGGTGCCTGTCTTATCTCAACTTGCCAAGAACTTCTCTAAACATGGTGTTGCAGAAAATCAAACATGGAAACAGATGGGCTCTTGAAAGTCTTAATCAGCTGTGACTTTGAAGAACACTTCCCCACCACAGACAGGCAGCTGTGTCTTTCCACGTTATACTTAATTTGAAATAGTAATCTCTACAGCGTGGTGTTAGTTCCCACTTACCGTATTTTTCGCTCTATAGGGCGCACTTTTCCCCCTCCAAAAATGAAGGGGAAATGTGTGTGCGTCCTATGGAGCGAATGCAGGCTTTCGCTGAAGCCTGGAGAGCGAGCGGGGTCGGTGCGCACCGACCCCCCTCGCTCTCCAGGCTAAAGGTAGCGCTGCGCACCCCGGGTTCAGGCAGCTATCCGCAAGCCTTCGGGCTCTGAAGGCTTGCGGATAGCAGCCTGTTCTGGGGGCTGGGGTTGGGGGAAGCTCGGGCTTCTCTCCCCCCCAGCCCCGCAGCTGGGGGGAAAATAGTAATAACCCCCCCCCAAAAAAAAACTAGGTGCGCCCTATGGAGCAAAAAATATGGTATGTAGAATTTGTGAGTGGGCCGGTAAGAGTGAGTTATTAAACAACCGGCTCTTCCTCCTCATTTCTTTTTGTTTACAACTGAAACGCAAAAGAAAGGAAACTGTACTATGGCTTGATTAGCTTGCAATGCTAAACTAAACTAAACTAAACTAAACTGAGCCGAGCCGAGCCAAGGCTCACCTTGAATAAGTGTGTTGGGAGAAAATCACAACCACTCCTGCCACCAGGAACAAATTCATGGTTTGCCTTAGTTTTGTGCCCAAATCCAGGGTTGTAGTTTGCCTCGATCCAAACAAACCATGAGTGGTAATCAAAGAATAAGGACTTTGTTACCGCTCGTGATTTTTCTGGAGGAAAATAAACCACAAGCCTTGGTTTGGACACAATGCTAAGCCAAACCATGGCTTAGTTTAACAACAACAACTTATTATTTATACTCCGCCCATCTGGCTGGGTTTCCCCAGCCACTCTGGGCGGCTTCCAACAAAAGATTAAAATTAAAAGAAAAAAGTTTCTGTTAATCTGGCGGCGGTGGCAGCAGCAGGAGCGAGGAAGCAGCAAAGTGGACACCATTGCAACAGCAAGATTTCTTAGTCACGGTAAGCCATAGATTTGCTTAGTTCTCTCTTCACTGCTCTTTGGTATTTTCATAGCTCAGTTACTGAAGAATTCTATAGAATGTAGGCAATAGCAGGACTTTTAAATATAGCTATTAAAAGTAAAAAGACCCCTGACCATTAGGTCCAGACGTGACCGACTCTGGGGTTGCAGCGCTCATCTTGCTTTATTGGCGAGGGAGCTGGTGTACAGCTTCCGGGTCATGTTTTGGGCCCGGAAACTAATTGGTATAGTCAGTGCAGTTGGACCAGAATCGGGGCAATATGCTCAAACCGTCTTGCTCCGGGGAGTAACCTGGCCACTGAATTCTACACTAGCCGAAGTTTTCAACCGCCTTCATTCCAAAGTGCTGGTTTTGACCTATAAAGCCTTAAACAGCTCAGGACTGCAATACCTCAAGGACCGCCTCTTTCCATATGAACCTACCCAGACCCTGAGATCATCTTCTGAGACCCTTCTTTGTTTGCCGCCTCCTCAAGAGGTTCGGAAGGTGGCAAAGCCTTCTCTGCAGTGCTCTCCCCAGGGAAGTTTGCCTGGCGCCTTCATTATACACCTTTAGGCACCAGGCAAAAACATTCCTTTTTAACCAGGCCTTCGGTGGATCTGATTTATATCCTATGCCCTTTTAAAATGTGGGTCCTTGGGGGGGGGGTTATTGGGCTGTTTTTTTATTTTGATTATATATTTTATGGTTTTATATTTTTGTTCTGTGAACCACCCTGAGACCTCCTGGTATAGGGCAGTACAGTGGTACCTCAGGTTACATATGCTTTAGCACTACTCACCAATTTTCCGCACACATTTACAGTAGGTTAGATTATCTGTGATGATTTTGCCCAGTTCAGGGAAGTGCCACCCGTACCATTCTCGACAGCGCATTATATAGTTGTTTAGTTCTTTGTCCAAGTCATCAAGGAGAGCTGCGGTAGAGAAACGCAAGAGATCCTTGAGCTCAGGTTCACTTTAGAAACTAGACCTTGAGCTATCCTAGGATTTCAGGGAAGAAACGTACTGGCTTGGTTTCCAAATAATAATAATAATAATAATAATAACAACAATAATAATCAATACTAATTTATTATTTATACCCCGCCCATCTGGCTGGGCTTCCCCAGCCACTCTGGGCGGCTCCCTACAAAATATTAAAATACAGTAGTCCGTCAAACATTAAAAGCTTCCCTAAACAGGGCTGCCTTCAGATGTCTTCTAAAAGTCTGGTAATTATGGTTCTCTTTGACATCTGGTGGGAGGGAGTTCCACAGGGCAGGTGCCGCTACCGAGAAGGCCCTCTGCCTGGTTCCCTGTAACATCGCTTCTCGCAGTGAGGGAACCGCCAGAAGGCCCTTGGCGCTGGGTCTCAGTGTCCAGGCAGAACGATGGGGTGGAGACGCTCCTTCGGGTATATCACATTAAACCATAGTTTAAAAATGCTCAGGGACTTCAAATGCCACACTTCTCTTCTGATGGGAACTAAGCTATGGTTTGGCTTAGTTCATGCCCAACCTGAGCTCATGGCTTGCTTCTTTTCAAATCCCGAGCTGTAACCAAAGTTTGTTCCCAGTTTATCACTTATGACTTGTTTGCTGAGGAACAAATCATGACTCCGAATTCAGATATAATGCTAAGTAGGAACTGTGGCTTATTTCCTAGCAGAACAGTGGCAAAAGGGCGAGGAGCAAAGTGCTTGCGATTTTAGTTCCATGCACTAGCAGACTGCAAATTCACCTTTAAACCATAGTTAAGTTTAACTGTAGTTGAAAGTGACTCGTGAACAAGAGGAAATCCAGAAATCTTGCGACACTTGCACCCATTAAAATCAACAATGGTGTAGTAGCCAATTATATAAGTCACTCCAAATACTAACAGGAGGAATGGTGCAAAAAGTTACCATCACTGTTAGAAAATACCCATTTATCTGTTTCCTATTTCCCACACATGGAAAAAACAACACCCACACCCATTTGTCAGTGGTGCATAAATTATTATTATTATTATTATTATTATTATTATTATTATTATTATTAATTAATATCACTATCTGGGGCTGCCACACCTACTTACTTTGCTCACTTATCCCATCCAGCTCACCCTTCACCAAAAACACCCCGTCCCCTTAGACCAGGCATGGCCAAACTTGGCCCTCCAGATGTTTTGGAACTATAATTCCCATCATCCCTGACCATTGATCCTGTTAGCTAGGGATGATGGGAGTTGTAGTTCCAAAACCTCTGGAGGGCCGAGTTTGGACATACCTGCTTTAGACCTTGAAGAAACCGCAAGGACCTTCCCCTTCACGTTTCCCCAACCACCACCACCACCTACTGGCAGCCACAGAAACTGCAGCTTGATGAAATACTTATCATTGAATTATACGGTATACCAAATAAATAAATGCAGCCCTCAGCCCCATTCCCTAGCTACCTTCAATTGACCATGAGAAGCTGTTTCTAACTCACACAGTCATCTCATCCTCGGAAAGAAAAGCCCAAGACTCAGCTCTTGCTGATCAATATTCAAAAATCCTACTAGAGAACCAGGTAACGCGGTGGTTGCAATACCTAGAAGCAGAATCCTTCTCTGGCTATTGAAGGAGGTTTGCCTCTCGCTTACTGCTGTTATTTTAACAGACTGATTTGATCAGATTTCCAGCAATCATCTGACACAGCATGGGGGTGGGTGGGAGCACATAAGCCTCTCTAAAAAGTCGGTGGGTAAAACGGAATTTGCTTTTGCGGTCACAACAAAAAACCTTTTAGCAAACAGAAAGCATTTAAATGTTTTGCTGGACCATGTAGCTAGCCCAAATTTGTGCTAATCACTGGCCCTGCATCTCCCTCCTCTTGACTGACCTCACCCTGAGTTATGGAGGAAAACGGGAGTAACTGAGAGCCATCCTGACTTGTTCTTGTCCCCAGTTCTAAGATAGGCTTGGCTCCTGATCCTTCAGAAGGGTTGATAGAACAAAACAAAAATGCACTCTACAGCGGCAAACTAGGTAGCAGAATGTTTGTGGCTACTGGTACAGTCGTACCTTGGTAGTCGAACGGAATTAGTTCTGGAAGTATTCGATTTCCAAAACGTTCAGAAACCAAAGTGCGGCTTCTGATTGGCTGCAGGAAGCTCCTGCAGCCAATTGGAGGCCCTGCTGGACATTCGTCTTCCAAAAATAGTTCACAAACTGGAACACTCACTTCCAGGTTTGCGGCATTCGGGAGGCAAAACGTTTGAGAACTAAGCTGTTTGACTTCCAAGGTACGACTGTATTAAGAATTCAAAAGCTAGTGGCAGACATATCAAGGTATTTAACTTCCAACCGTACTCACAAATAGCTTGGACGATCATGGTATCAACTTTGTCTGGGCTGAACTTCAGCTTGTATCGGGAGAGGCTGAAAACAGACATGGATATAAACATTATGTACAATAATGCACAGGGCACACAGATCCCCCCCCCATAATACAGTGGTACCTCGGGTTACATACGCTTCAGGTTACAGACTCCGCTAACCCAGAAATAATACCTCGGATTAATAACTTTGCTTTAGGATGAGAACAGAAATCGCGCGGCAGCAGCGGGAGGCCCCATTAGCTAAAGTGGTGCTTCAGGTTAAGAACAGTTTCAGGTTAAGAACGGACCTCCGGAACGAATTAAGTACGTAACCAGAGGTACCACTGTAATTATAAAGGCATTGCTATTGACTGCAATGGCGTGTTCACCTTTGCTGACGGTGCAGCAATTAATCCTTTTCCTTTTCATTTACTGACTTGTGTTTTTACAGGCAAGAAGTCTAAGGCAGAGAGCTGTGAAAAGCGGTTCGTATTACTCCCTGCAGGCACAAGCGTTTCAGCGAGTTGGAAGAAACCCAGCAGAACTGAGAGCAGGACTAACTTGTACAAGTTACCGCATTTTTTGCTCCATAGGACGCACTTTTCCCCTCTTAAAAACTAAGGGGGAAAGTCTGTGCGTGTCTTATGGAGCGAATGCAGGGGGGAGGCAGGCAGGAAAAGCCCGCAAGAGCCCCACACAACCCGCGCGGCTCTTGCGGGCTTTTCCCCAGGAGGGAGAAGGGACGGACGCAGCCAGTCAGTCCCTTCTCCCTCCTCGTAGAAAAGAACAGTTGGATGGATCCCGCTCGCTGTCTTGGCTTCTTTGCTCTTTGGGGCTGGGAAATAATATTTTTTTTCTTGATTTCCCCCTCTAAAAACTAGGTGCGTCTTGTGGTCCGGTGCGTCCTATAGAGCGAAAAATATGGTAACATGTACAAGACTGTGCTGTAAGTAGATGCTGGGGCCAAAGCTTGCCATTCCACTTCACAGAAAGCGGTATCCTCAGGGGGATATTTATACAGAGCACAGAAACGAACAAGTCGGTGCTGGCAAGACGTCTGTATTACCTGTGTGCCAGGCCTAAACACATAGCTGCCATCTCCCGCGATGGAAGGCCAGTGATCAGCCCTTCCATTTGAGAACGGATGCCTCTCATCAGTTCAGTAACCATGGGGCTGTGCAGGCAACTTAAGTTCAGTTTCTCCTGCAGGAGGAGGGGGAAAAAGAAGGCGATCCTCATTTTGATATTATTACAACAACAAATTTGTTTACTGTTGAACAGCAACAGAACCTAAGAAAGGCAAGGTAGCCCAACGCTAACCCACAGGCAGGGCTATCTTGCAGTTCCTAGAAGTGAAATAACCATTGAGAATTCTTATTTAAGCAAACTGGCAACCAACTGTTGTACCAACTTAGCCTTTTAGATAAAAACGCAGGCACTAGCTTTCATGTTGACGTTAATTCAAACATTTCCCTGTTAACCTTTTTTTAATCTCCATACTTCTTCATAAGTCAAGAAGATAGCACAAGACACAGGAGGTAGCAAAAAAATCCAGAAAAATGTGGCCCTAACAATCTTTTACTTTAGTCCAGTGCATTATCAACAAAGCTTATTTAGAACTAGTACAATCGTACCTTGGTTTTCGAACAGCTTAGTTCTTGAATGTTTTGGCTCCTGAATGCCACAACCCCAGAAGTGACTGTTCTGGTTTGTGAACTATTTTTGGAAGCCAAACGTCTGACGGGGCTTCCGATTGGCTGTAGGAGCTTCCTGAAGCCAATCAGAAGCCATGCCTTGATTTCCAAACGTTTTGGAAGTTGGATGGACTTCCAGAAAGGATTCCGTTCAACTTCCAAGGCACGACTGTACTTGAATTCACTTGTTTTCCTCTTCCCTCCCCACATCTTTTCCTTCTGTATCATGCCTACTACAATAGGGGTTCCCAAACTGGTGAGCTTCATTCAGGAGGTCCACGGCATCTCTGTGGATTTATGGTTGACACATTAGATATTCAAACGGATTTGTAATTGTCTTTTAAATTTGGTAATGGCTATACTAGAATCCAAGTCTAAAGGCAAGGACTGCCTTGGTTTTTAATCTGTATGCAGCCCTTAGTAAACCTAAGTACCCTGTAATCAGTGTATAAATCATAATAATCATGAAGTCAGCAAAAAAGCATGGTCCCAGAATATCAGTACCAACAAAATAAGCATCGACAGCCATCACTGATTAATTTGCATTTAGCACACATCATTTCTGGATGCAGTGAAAAGGTCGCGTCAGCACATAGGACAGGGAAGATATGCAGCACAAACTCACTGTTCTGGAGCTATAAAGAAGACTAGCACAGGCCTTGAGAACACCACCTCATCTGAACACCACATCGCCAGGGCACATAAAAACCAGAACTTACCTTTATTACACCTCCCAGTTTGGCATCTGCTACGGCCAACTGTTCGTGTGCATCTTTGGCAACTATCTTCTTTAAGATTTTCTTTAAGTTCTTGTTAATCTTGCCTTCCACCAGAGCAGTGGATGCTTAAAGGAGAAAGCACATCATTGTAAAAAAAACCTGCAGACTGTCTAACATTCCCAGCCTGGCAAAGTTCATAATGGAACAAAATATGTACTAATACCGGCCACCCACCGAACTTTATCTGTTGTCTCTGTGGCAGGGACCAAAAATTGGGGATTCAGTTCTACGAATGAAGCATCAGTGACAGCAGGAAGCCAGTTTTTACTCCCTCTAATTCTAAGGCTACAATCTGCTATAAAATCCCACTGAGGTCACTGAGCTAACACATTCAGATGCAGGCAAATTTGCTCATCACTCGTTTAGGCATTGTCTGGGTGGCTAGCACAGAGGCACACCATATTGGTTACATTAATTTGCCTTGGTTTCTAAAGAGGTATTCATCTGGAGAAGGGAAGGGAACGACATTTTCGTAAGCTACAGGAAAATTCGTCCTTTCCTACCACCAACTGCTGATGTGCTACAAATAACTTGCATTAGCAGGCAGGGGGGTGGGTTTTTTTGTGGACTTAATAAGTACCATATTTTCGCTCTATAGGACGCAGTTTTTCCCCTATGGAGCGTCCTATGGAGCAAATGCAGGCTTTCGCTGAAGCCTGGAGAGCGAGAGGGGTCGGTGCGCACTGGCCCCTCTTGCTCTCCAGGCTTCAGGAAGCTATCCGCAAGCCTTGGGAGCCCGCGGGAGTTCCCGCCGAGCTCCCAAGGCTTGCGGACAGCAGCCTGCAGCCCGGGGGAGCGCAGCGCCGCGCACCCCGGGCTTTGGGCAGCTATCCGCAAGCCTTCGGAGCCCGGCGGGAGTTCCCGCCGGGCTCTGAAGGCTTGCGGATAGCAGCAAGCACCGGGAGCAAAGGCGAGGTTGCATGCAACCTCGCCCCCACTCCCGGACCTGTTCTGGGGGCTGGGGAAACTTGGGCTTCCCCCGCCCCCAGCCCGGCAAGCTCCGGGAGCGCAGGCAAGGTTGAGCGTAAACCTCGTCCCCGCTCCAGACCCCTTCTGGGGACTGGGGTCGGGGAAGCTTGGGCTTCCCCCCGCCCCAGGGCTAAAGAGGAAGCCCCCCTTTATTCCCCCCCCCAAAAAAAAACTAGGTGCGCCCTATGGTCCGGTGTGCTCTATAGCAGTGTTTCCCAAACGTTTTTGGGCAACGGCAACACCTGTTTACCGGAAAAAAAATCTCGCGGCACACCACCATTAAAGCCCCGCCCCCGTGACGTCATTCGGGGAGCCGGCGGCCCGGGCCTGAGCTGGAAGGAGAGGCGGTGCTTTTCGGCACAGGCAATCGGCCTGGAATTGTTTCCCGCGCGCTGCGAAAGGGAACAGCTGCGGTCGCGCGAACCCTCCGGTGCTGGGAGGGGAAAGGGCGGAGTCGCAGAGCACCAGCTGGCCGAGCGGTTGCGCGCAGCGTTGCGCTTTTGGAGAGCGTGCGGCTGCTGCTAGGGGATCCGGGGACGTGAGCAGGCCTGGCCCGACCCGGGTTGAAGGAGGACAAGCCGGCAGCGCGCCAAGTGAGTTCGGTTGCGCGCGACGGCCCCCGCTCCCCCCACCCCCGCCGGATCCTCGCCGCCGCCGCCTCTCGCCCGCCTCCCTCCCACGGCACACCAGCCGATGTCTCACGGCACAGTAGTGTGCCGCGGAACACCGGTTGGGAAACACTGCTCTATAGAGCGAAAAATAGGGTAATATTAAGTTTTAAAACACACTAGAAAAAAGTCACCTACTCTCACAGCTAATGATTTCAGGCTTGCCAGGAACAGATCAGCCAGCATCCAAAGAAAGGAAGGGATATATTATAACTCTCGGTTACCTGCAAGAGCTTCTGTGGTGTCTTGAAACTTCTCAAAGTGTTTCAGTTTCACTCTAAATAAAATACACCAAACAGTTTTTATAAACATCATGGGGAACAGACTATCTGCTACCAACTTCTAAAACACAAGAAACCTGAAAAATGAAAAGCCTGCAGTGACCCATCAGGATAACCTACCAAAGAGAAGAAAGGTACCCCTGCCCGTACGGGCCAGTCTTGACACTCTTTGTGCGCTCATCTCACTCTAGAGGCCGGGAGCCAGAGTCGTTCGCAGACACTTCCGGGTCACGTGGCCAGTGTGACATCGCTGCTCTAGCGAGCCTGCACGAGCGCAGCACACGGAACGCCGTTTACCTTCCCGCTATAAAGCGGTACCTATTTATCTACTTGCACTTTAAGGGTGCTTTCGAACTGCTAGGTGGGCAGGAGCTGGGACTGAAAGACGGGAGCTCACCCCGCCGCGGGGATTTGAACCGCCGACCATACAGGTTTAACCCACAGCGCCAGCCGCGTTTTACCCAAACAGAAAAACAGAAGCTATTAAGTCTGACTGACAAATAGCTTCCTGCTACTAAACCATAGATATTTAAGGCTTGCTAGATAACTATTCTAGAATGACAAAAAACATAGTTATTAAGTATACTATATCTAACCTTTCGAATCCCCGCGACGGGGTGAGCTCCCGTTGCTTGGTCCCTGCTCCTGCCCACCTAGCAGTTCGAAAGCACGTCAAGGTGCAAGTAGATAAATAGGTACCGCTCTGGCGGGAAGGTAAACGGCGTTTCCGTGCGCTGCTCTGGTTCGCCAGAAGCGGCTTAGTCATGCTGGCCACATGACCCGGAAGCTGTACGCCGGCTCCCTCGGCCAATAAAGCGAGATGAGCGCCGCAACCCCAGAGTCGGCCACGACTGGACATGGGTCCCTTTACCTTTATCTAAGCTTGCCTCATTGCTTCTGACTCCAACAAGATCAAATTTATTATCCAAAATTATTTCATACTCTGGCCCCTTCAGACGCACTACAGCAGCATTGTCCAACAGGTCGATTGGGATCGACTTGTAGATCATGTGATTGTCTCTTATCGATCTCTCCCCCCCCCAACAGCCCTTACTCTCGAGGAGCCAGCGCACAGGGCTTCTCCCACTCTCTCTCTGATGAAGGAGAAGCAAGTGGCGAGGGAGTGGGGGACTCTTCCTGGCTGCCATCCCACCCATGCGGGGAGGTGTGTGTGTGTGTGTGTGTGTGTGTGTGTAGCCCTGCGCGCTGGCTCCTCAAAGAGAGAAAGGTTTAGGTTTACGTGAAAGGAAAGGGTGGGTTGGATCCAGGGGAAAGAGCTTCTACAGGATTCATCCAGTTAAGGTGGTGCTTGAAGGCTGTCAACTCTGCAGTTGAGTTTACCCAATTTCTGTTTCAAACTATGGGGGAAACCGCTGTGGTTGATATGTGCCCCTGACTCATTTGAAAAACAGCAAGTGTCTGGGGTACTTTAAAGACGAACACATTTATTATGGCATGAGCTTTTGTGAACAACAATCCATGCATCATGTTCTGATTATGTAAGACCCTGTCCTCAATGTTCTTTTCTTATGTTATTGCAAGTATACAAAGTATGTATTTTTAAAAAAATTATTGATTTATGATTAACTTTTCAGGTTTTATGGAAGCGGCTATCATTTGTTATTATTTTTATCATAAGCTCAGCCAAATATGATATGTTTAAGTTGAAGAATGACAATGGGAGAGTGTGGTAGATCACTGCCGGATTTGATATTGAATGGTAGATCTCAAGCTACTTTTGTTTGGACATGCCTGAACCAGAGTTCCCAAGGGAGGGGGAAATTCCCAGGTACCACCAGAACTTCAATTGTGTAGTCTGCTCTTCAAGAGCACCAACAATAAGCTGACTGTAGATACCTGCAGAAACACTTGTGATGTGCTTTGAAGCCCTGACAGCTAGTGCCCTAGACGTGATTTTACGCTCCCCACAACTGATTTAATATATGATGTCAGCTGTAGGGCAGGTGGTCATGGTTTGCCCAAAATGGCCTGGCAGGCCAAATGGGGAAGCCTGGTGGGTCTAATTATGCCTGAGGGGCAGAGCTAAGATTATCAACACATTCTGTCTCATGGTTGTAGCTAAACCTCACTTCTGAGTGATATTAACCCTGTTGAAAAATACTTTGCAAGCCTTTCCACTACAGCAAGGCACCTGCCATCCAACTGCATCTATAGAGTTGTCATGTCAACAGTGGAGGATGAAGGTTAACAGATTTATAACTCTAAGAGGGAGCTGCGTGTACAAAATAATCCAAGGACTGGCGCTAGGCAAAAAACAGTAATTCCTATGTGAGCAGGTGTACTCTATACTGGAATGAAATAATAAGTTACCTGAGAAAGTTACTTACACTTTATTTGCTTTTTCAGGAGTTTCAAATTCTTTCCATAAGCTGTCAATTTCTTGGAGTTTCTTCTCATCCAGAACCTATGACAGATAAGAAGTAAGACTAAATACACACAAAATTGACAAGATTCAATGTTGCTGTGTAAGTAGGATGAAATGCACAAAACATCTCTCTAATTCCGATGCAGAAAACAGCCATTCCACCACAACAATTCTCTGCCACATCTCTAACCAGTGGCAATTTCCCCAAGCTTCATTTTTTATTAAGAAGAGAAAAACAGTTGCAAGTGTGAGATGCCGTGTTTTAAAAGTATTCAGTAAACTTACATGCTGCTTCTCAACTAGAGGGAAAAACCTGTCTGTCACAAGTACAAAATTAATGTTCCATGCAGTCTAATTTTATGCGTCTTTACTCAGAAGTAAAGACAGGACTTTTAAGTAAAGATGTATAGAAATTAACCCTAAAGACTCACTTTCCTTCTCTGCATTGCCCAGAACCCCGTTTCAGTGAACACACAAAGCTTGCTGAATCAACACTAGATGACCAGCAAAATCCTAAACAAAGTAGACTCCAATGTGCAAAATAATACAGCCCGTCGTCTTGGCAGAAATGGGTGCAATGTAGATCCAATGGGATACTTTAATTGGAGCAAGTGGATGCAACGCAGGAGAGCTGGTAAAAGGCAAGAGCTGTGAACTAGGAAGTCCCCAGCTGAAAATCTCACTTTCTAGGCAGCCTGAACCAATTATCTCTCTCCCTCTCCCTACCTAAATCTGCTGTAACAGCAACACTCCCCCCATCCCTGGTGCCCTTCAAATGTTTTGGACTATGTTTCCCAACACCCCCAGGCAACACGGCTGGGAGCTGCCGTGCAAAACAGCTGGACGGCACCATGATGGAGGAGGATACTTCACAGGATTGTTCTAAGGATCACTACCAAATAGACTGCTGGGATAGCTCACATTCCTACGCCAGAGGGGGTTGGACTAGATGACCCTCGTGGTCCCTTCCAACTGTTTTTGTTGTTTAGTCATTTAGCTGTGTCCGACTCTTTGTGACCCCCTGGACCAGAGCACGCCAGGCACTCCTGTCTTCCACTGCCTCCCGCAGTTTGGTCAAACTCATGTTGGTAGCTTCGAGAACACCGTCCAACCATCTCGTCCTCTGTCGTCCCCTTCTCCTTGTGCCCTCCATCTTTCCCAACATCAGGGTCTTTTCCAGGGAGTCTTCTCTTCTCATGAGGTGGCCAAAGTATTGGAGCCTCAGCTTCAGGATCTGTCCTCCCAGGGAGCACTCAGGGAGCACCATAAAGAAGGCTGATCTCCAAAGAATTGATGCTTTTGAATTATGGTGCTGGAGGAGACTCTTGAGAGTCTCATGGACTGCAAGAAGATCAAACCTACCCATTCTGAAGGAAATCAGCCCTGACAAGATGGTTGGACAGTGTTCTCGAAGCTACTAACATGAGTTTGACCAAACTGCGGGAGGCAGCGGAAGACAGAAGTGCCTGGCATGCTCTGGTCCATGGGGTCACAAAGAGTCGGACACGAGTAAACGACTAAACAACAACAATCCCACCTTTCCTCCAAGGAGCTCAGGAAAGCGTACATGGTTCTTTACCACCCCATTTTATCCTCAGGTTAGGCTGAGAGACGACTGTGTTTAATGGAAGCCCAGTATAGAGCGCAGCCTGGATGTGACTCCACATGTGCCTCCCCCCGGCTTGGGGACCTCCCAAAGATTGGGCCACTGTGGGGCACAGGATGTGGAACAAGCGAGGACTCTTGTCTGATCCAACAAGAGCAGAAGAACAAGAAGCTACCAGCATGAGTCTGACCAAACTGCGGGAGGCAGTGGAAGACAGGAGTGCCTGGCGTGCTCTGGTCCAGGGGGTCACGAAGAGTCGGACACGACTAAACGACAACACAGCATGATTCCCCAGGAAGGCTTGCAAGTTTTAAGCTTAGCGGGAAAACCTGCCAGCCCCCCAGAAAATGTTGTGGTGTGGCAGGGAAAGAAACCGGGTCCGCTATAAGAGAGGGTGGGATCTCCCCGCGTTTATCCTCCTTGTTCCAAAAGTATTTCTCGACTTATTGCTAGCGATCGTATAAACCGAGTGCACCGACCAGCCCTCTCCGCCCCGCCAGCAGCCTCCAATCTCCCGCTAGCAGCAGCCACGTGGGAACCCTACTCGACACGTGTCGCGCCCTCAGATCACCTTGAAAATGGCGTATCCGGCCGCGGTCTCGAATAAAACCAGCATGGCGGCAGCGGGACGGAGCCGGGGCGCCTCCCGCCAAAGCGGCTCTTTCCAAGGGAAGGCGGGCGAGCGAAGCGAAGACCCGGCGCGGGAGACCGCGAACTCCTAGGCGCGAGGACCACGAGGGCGGAAGTGAGGAGCTGCACCGGAAGTGATTCGCGCGGCCTTCTGGGAAACCGGAAACCCGGGGGAGGAAGTTGGAGCTTTGGGCTTCCTCTAGGATTGTGGCGCTTCACGCTCTCTATGCGCGGGGCGAAATTGGTCGAAAATGGGGCCCCATAAAAATAAATAAATTGCATACTGTAATTCAAAACAGCTACATTTTTGAGGGCAAAATAGGCCCAGTTTTCAGCAGTTTATATAGACAGCAGCTTTTGGAAACAGAGTTTTGTTGTTATGATTATTATTACATTATATTGATTTATAGCCCCTCTTTTTCCCTCACGGGGACCCAAGGCGGCTTACACATAAGAGCAAAAATCGCTAAAAACATAAGGGGACGAGTCGTTTAACCCCCCCCCCCCACCATTTCAACGTTAATGGAATTAAAGCCATATGAATGTATAAAATCTTGCTTTAAAAACATACAAATATTTAACATAAAAACAGCACGGTGCCAGCCCTTTCATTTAAAAAGCAGCCAGTTTCCCCAAACCCATTGGAACATTTTTATGCTGTGAACTGCCCCGAGATCTATGGACGAAGGGCAGTATACAAATAATAACAACAACAACAACAACAACAACAACAACAACAACAACAACAACAACAAGAAGGAAAGACAGCAAGTTGCAAGCTGGTCTAGCTCCCCCAGGGAGTTCCAAAGTTGCCTGGGAGCAGCCACTGAGAAGAACTTCGGAGTCCCCACCATGCATGTATATTTCCATGCAAAATATCCTCAGCCAACTAAAATGCAGCCTACAGTTTTTAATGAGCTATGCAAGCTATGCATTCCATCTTGCAAAGCGGTGTTACTATATAAACAGTTGCCATCCAGTAGGAGTTCCATGGAAGGGTTGGGTGAAAGAAGGACACAGCCTTCGCTTCAATATTTTCTCCATTCTCTGACGTCCTTGATGCTAATCTGTCATAAACAGCTTTGAAAGCTTCATATGTCTATGAAGCAAGGACGGAGGATTACTCATTCTGGTGCCCTAGTCTGCATAGCTGTCAACCTTCCCTTTTTTTGCGGGAAATTCCCTTATTTCAGCGCCGTTTCCCGCTGCTATCCCGGAATTGTTAGATATACCGTAGACCAGGGGTCTGCAACCCACGGCTCTGGAGCCGCATGTGGCTCTTTTACACCTTTGCCGTGGCTCCGGGGCGGATACTAGCGAGGGGAGGAGGCGCATTGTGTGCCCCGACACTCCCCACTGTGGCGGGCACTGTACTGGCTGTGATGTCGCTTGGGGGCGGTGCGTGCGTTAGTCACGCACCGTCCCGACGTCACCTTCCCGCCCGCTGTCAGATCGCGGCTCTGGAGATATATTTGTTTTAAATGCCGCAATGGTTTTGCGGCTCCCAGTTTTTTTTCTTCGGAAACGGGTCCAAGTGGCTCTTTTTGTCTTAAAGGTTGCAGACCCCTGCCGTAGACTGTCCCCGGGACAGGTGAGGCTGCTGATCCCTTATTTTCAAATCTGAAAGTTGACAGCTCTGCCTAGTCTGGCAAATGATGGCATCACTCGTGATCTAAAAAAGTCTCAGAGCTTTGCTCTGACCAGCACCACACCGCTGTCCATATTACCCAGTGATGAGTGTAATAATAAAATTTAAGGTCATATATATATATATATATATATATATATAATGTTCATAAATGTACCAACCAAGCACGTACATAGATCAGCACAAGAAGACTGTCCTAAAACCATTTGGACTCTCAAGCTGACCAAATGTTTCTTTGCAAGGAGGGAGGAGGTGAAAAAAACCTTCCTTGTTACAGGAATTTAGAAATCACCATCTCAAAGGAATGGCCAGACCTACCAGGAAAGGCAATCAGATAAGGCATTATCAGATAACCTGGCAGACAGGAAAAACAACAACATTCAAATTTCTGTTGTAGACTTCCGGAGGCGGCGCGAAACGGCAATGGCGGTCCTCTTTAGTCTCTAAAGAGGGGCTCCGCAGAAAAGGATCGTTCGCTACGGCACAGCGACGATCCATTAAGAAAAACCACGAGCAGAGTGAGCTCGTGGCCGTGGGACTCAGCGGGCACCTGGAGCGACCCCCAAAACGAAGAAGGGACCCCGTAAGGGGCTCCGGAAGCGCGGAGGGGAAGCGGTGCTGAGAGTTCATCGCTCTTTCTGCGGGAGCGAAGCCGCGCGGCTGCTGCTGATGAGCGCCGACCTTTCTTCCTTAACCATTGGACTCCAAATTATCTACTCGTGAGTAAGAGCAACTTTATTTTGGATTTACAAATTTAGAAATTTGGCTGAAAGCGGGAGACGAAAAAAAAAAGAGGAAGTCCGTCTTCCGGCAAGGCTTACAGATCAAAGGCAAAGGAACTGACAGGCTGGAAGCTGTAGAAAGAGATTTTAAAACTGGAAGTATTATGCGTCTGATAGAACTGGCGATTGAAATGAAAGGCAAGTTTTCTCTTTTATCTACTTTACTGTGTTGAAGCAATCTGGGAACCTTCTCCTTTGGTGGATTTTAAAGTTTGAAACCCAGCCTCGGGATGGCGGGGGAAAAGAATGTCTTTTGCGGATACAATCTATAAAACTGAAATAGACACATAGAGGCAATTCTGGAACATAAAATTAAGTAACTGTATCCTGCACCTTGGGAGGTGACTTTTGTGGCAACTTTGCAAGGGCTCTGCAAGTGGAAAAAAGTTCTAAGGACTATTGTTAAACTATTTAGCTGCAGGAACTTTAATGGCGACCAAAACTTTTTTCCTTCTTTCCTGAACTCAAATTGTACTCCCTCTAACTGTACTCCCTCTAGTGGAGATTGGGATTTACAATTTCCTGGGAACTAACTTTGTTTTGACTCTCTGCTGCTGGTTATCTACATTGAGGTCTGTTCTTCCCATGGAACATTTGACAGTTTGACTTTGACTCATAGACAGGTGGGGAATGAGTGGCCAACCGAAAACAAGATCTGCAAAAGCGAAAGCAGTAAAAGGCCAACTTGTGCAAACAACTTTGACTTCTCAGTCACGTAGATCATCAGTTCCTGCTGTACTGAAGGGAATTGAACCTCCAACAACAGATGAATTGAAGGGAATTGAATCTTCAACAACAGCTGAACTAAAGGAAGCTGAACAACCATCAACGGAGGATATGGCTGCAGGTGGATCTGATACACTTCTGAAGGAAATGCTACAACAATTTGCAATCTTAAATAAGAAGGTTGACGACCAAACAGCAAAAATTGACTTAGCCACATCCTCTATCACAAAGTTATCTGAACAAGTGGCACAGCACTCACAAGCAATTGGGGATCTAAAAGACGCTACTTCTGAGAACCGGAAATTGGCCGAAGCTGCGAACGAAAAAGCTGACCAAGCAATTCAAAAAGTGGATGAATTGAAAGGAGAGGTAAGGCCACTACACAAGCATATTGGCGACCAGCAGGCCTACCTGTCTATGGTGGAATTGAGAAACCGGGAAAATAATTTGAGATTACGTTCTATCCCAGAGCTTGAGAAAGAAGATTTGACTGGTTACTTGACAGCAGAATTTTCCAAATTCTGGGGCATAAAGGAAGACGAAGATTTTAAAATAACAACTGCATTTAGATTGGGAAGTGTCGCCAGGAAGGACAGACCCAGAGACTGTCTGATTATACTAAGGACCAAACAGGAGAGAGACAAGATACTTGACCTTCATTTTAATAAATCACCTTGAGATCCAGGACAGAAGAGCGGAAATTTATAAGGATATACCAAAACAATTACTGGATCTCAGATCTATCTATACTGACCTAGCAAAACTTTTGAGAAGCAACGGGATACCTTATAGGTGGGAGTTCCCACAAGGTCTATCGTTCAAATACAAAGGAAAGAAGGTTAGAATTAAAACAAAAGAGGACAACCAGAAGTTCCTGCACGACCACGGAGAGGACCTTCAGAAGGGAACAGCAGTCCCTTGGCCTCCGCCACAGTCTGAAGTAGAACCTGTACCATCGCCCTCGGATTTGGACAAAAAGGAGGACACCCCATAAAGAGCAACAACAGATTGATACAGGATGTCTCTGCAGCTGTATAGTTGGAACATTAATGGGGCAAATTCCCCGGAAAAACGAAAAAGGATTTTTCATATTTTGAAAAAGGAACATTTGGATATAATTTGCTTGCAAGAAACGCATGTGACTAGGCTCCACAGGAAAGTACTAATCAACAAAAGACTAGGCCAAGAATTTATTTCATCAGACAAAGTAAAAAAGAGAGGCCTGGTGATCTACGTAAAGGAGAACCTAGCACCGAAATTTTTGTTTAAAGATGAGCAAGGAAGAATCTTGGCAATTGAAATACAATCTCAAGGAGAAAAAGTTTTGATATTAGGAATTTATGCACCAAATGAGGGGAAATCAGAATTTTATAAGAAGCTACATGAGACATTACTGGACTATCTGGACTATTCGAACATCATTATGATGGGAGATATGAATGGGGTGGTCTCTACTTTGATGGATAAGTCACAAAACCAAAATTTAACCAAGGATGGCAGACTACCGAAAACTTTTTTTGAACTGACAGACAATATGGATTTGATTGACATTTGGCGGACAAGGAACCCCCTAGGTAGAGAGGGAACTTTCTTTTCTGAGGCCCACTTGTCATGGACAAGAATCGACCAAATTTGGACAACTAGAGGGCTGGCACCAAAGACTATAAGAGTGGAAATCTGCCCAAAGACTTGCTCCGACCATAACGCCCTGAAAATGGAATTGAGACTTACTCCAGCCGGCTCCTTCAGATGGAAAATGAATGACACCCTGTTTAGAGATCAAGGGATTGTAAAGAAGGCCCAAAAAACTTTAAAGGACTATTTTGAAATTAACTTGAACACTTCAGTGGAAAAAAGAACAATCTGGGACGCGAGTAAAGCTGTAATGAGGGGGTTTCTGATACAACAAAATACAATTAAGAAAAAACTCTGGAATGGGAGAAAGGATAAAATATTAGAGAAGATAAGAGATGGA